CACAAACTGATCAATTTTATTCTATATGGCTGCCTACAACAATTTGAAGTGAGTGGCCCTTAACTAAAACAACGAGTTTGGAAACCACTGAGCAGGTGTCTTCTAAGACCTGGACTGTCCGTCATTCTGGGCATTGCCTGGCAGCCATTATCCAGAGGCTTGAGTGTAGATGGGCCAAGCCTGGGTTAGCAAGGCCTCTCTGTCCCTCCCCTCTGACTGTACCGGATGTTTGCCCTTTGAGAGATAGCCCTCTCCAAGTTCAGGGCCTGATCACCAAGCAGGGCCTTTCCTGTTGCCTGAGGCATGGGAGAATGACCTGGGCAAAAGCCCATCTCAGTCCCTGGGCTTCTCCTGCAGGCCCTGGGCCCCTTGACCTTGCTGGAGGCCACCACTAGCCATGCCAGCTCCCTCCACCTCTCTGGATTTTCCAGACCTAGATTGAGAGCGGCCAAGTCAGTTGAATAGAAAAAAATATATCTATATATCCTCCCTTCTCACCCAGACTCCTAGCACTTGAACTGGGGAGATGCCAACAAAAATAGCATGATGTCATCCCCCGGCTGATCCTGTTAATCCCTTTCCTGCCGAATATTGAGTCTTGGTTTTTATTTAAAAGCGATTTTATTGTGAAAGGCTGGTTAAAAGCCTCTGAGAGCTGCACTGGGGAACCTGGTGACGCCTTTGATGTGCTGAGTGATGCTGGGCCCTCAGCCCCCTTCCCCCCGCAACCCTGAGCCCCAACAGGGAAAGAAAATGAGATTTGCAGAAGGCTGGGAAGCCGGAGGAATTCTGTGTCAGACAGCATGTGTTACCAACGGCATCTGGTTTTGCATTTCGCAGCCAGCTGCCGCTGCAGGCTGTCCTCTCAGAAAGGACTTCTCAGCTTCCCCGGGATCCACGAGAAGCACCACGGTCCCCGGATGTGGCCCTTCCTGTCTTAGGAATACTCCTGCCCCTTTGGGTGCCCCACCCCCACTCACACCCTCACCCATAAGTATTCAAGCTCCGGCCTGTTTTAGCAGGGCTGCTGCCTTCCAGAGGTGAGACGGACTTGAGACTGGGAGATCTGGGTCTGCGGCTCTGCTTTGAGCACACCTGGAAACACCACTTCACTTCTCTGAGCCCTGCAGCCTCATCTGTGAGCTAGAACTGTGTACACCTGCCCCACTACCTGCTCTCCGATCCTATATGACCACCCAGGTATTAAAGCAAAAGCCTACATTTTCAGATCTGTGAAATCAAGAGCCTTATTCCAATGCCGTGCATTATTGCAAGTGGGGTGAGGTCCAAAGGATGGGAAAGGGAGCAAAACAATGGGAGGGGCTTGCAAGGAAGTGGTTCCAGTGAAGGACCCTGGAAATCCAAAGCCAGGAGAGTGATGGGTGCTGAGAAAGAACTGGGCCCAGCAGGTCTGAGCCCATGATGAGAAAGAAAAGTTGCTGCTAAGGGGCTTGAGGAAGCCAACTGGAAGGCCCAGAGATCATGTTCACAGAGTGAGATGTCTGGGTTTGCAATTTAGTGATGGGAAGGGAGTGGGGAACTGGAGGATGGAACTGTTGGGGGCAGTTAGGTCAAGGTTGGGATCCTGGAGAAGTCTTCCTTGTAGATGAGGGGTGGGTATCTGACCAAGTGACTGAGATTCACCAGCCATGAAACATGTCAGAGGCCTGGGTTCAAGTCCAGGCGTGATGAGGGAGTTGGGGTGGAAAGCATGGTCAGGAGCCACGGTGGTCAGTGAGTGAGGGGTTAACCAGAAGGCCTGAGAGAGCACCGGGGTAAGAGAGGAGGCTGGATGGGGTGAATCTAAAGGAGCAGGGGCTTTCATAAGATGAGGGGAGCCACGAGAATACACACTGATCCCGACGCGGAGGTGGGCGTGAGGATGAGCAGGGGGCAGAGAGGAGGGCATGTTCCAGGGAGATGCTCAGAGTACAGAGAAGTGTGCTGTGTGGAGCAGAGAGAGGGCCGGGGATGGGGGTGGGTAAAGTAGAGGGGTAGGGGTCCGGGGAGGCCGAGCAGGAGAACAGGGCAGGGCAAGGACAGAGGCTGGGAGCCAGGAGCCTGGAACTCTGTCCAGATCTCCCATGTCAGTGGCAGGGGCCGAAGTACTTACGCCATCTTCTGCTGCTTTCCCAGATACATTAGCAGGGAGCTGGATTGGAAGTAGAGCAGCCAGGTCTTAAACTGGTGGCCATACGGGACACCAGTGTTGAAGGCTGTGGCTTTATCCACTATGTCATAACACCAACCCCAATAATAAATTTTTTTAAATCTCATTTGTTGCTAAATCCACTACGTCTCTGCTACTGCTAAGGAGACTTGCTGAAGTGGAGCACAGACTTCTGAGTCAAACAGGCTACGTTTGAGCCCCAGCCCTGCCACGGTAATGCAAGGTGACTTTCCACAAGTTATTTAATGTCTTTGAACTTGCATGGCTTCACTTGTACAGTGCAGGAAATAAAGTTCAGCTTGCAAATGCTGTGAGGATCAGCAGACAGCATTGCACCTGACACATAGCAGATGCTAAAAGACTGTTCTTCTATAACCAACGATGACGATGATGACAGTGATGACGATGATGACAGTGATGACGATGGCAGGGATGAACATGTGCTGTGGTTCCTTCTTATTTGAACCCCTGTCAGTATTTCTTGCAGAAGCAAAGTGAGTCCCATATGGTGGCAGGTCTTTGGAACTACCTGGGGTGGCCCGACTTCTCGGTAATGATTGCTCTTAAAACCCTCAAAGCTGGCCTTCCTCGTGGAGTTGAGTAGACTTCCAATGAGAAACTAGCTGCTAGTCCCCCAGGGTTAAGAGATAGCCCTATTCCCATCTGCAGTGCTTAGCAAAGGGAACTCATTCTGGCCTTGCCTGAGGCCCTCGAGCATTTACAAAGGCCATGCAACCCACACCCCACTGCGGTCCTCAATCTGGTCCCAGGTCAACCAGACCCTTGGTCCGGACCCCCTGCCTGCAGCTACTTCCCAAATGGAAAACCACACTCTGAGTCCCTCTGCCCCAGCAGGAGCCCTGTTATCTCCCATCTGTGAGCTCTCAGAAGCTACCCCCAGAGTTCCCCCTTTTCCAGGGACTGCCCCAGAGCCAAGGGTGTTCATGAGAAATGATTTACAAACCTCATCCCAGGCTGCTGTAAGAATGACACCGCCACTTTTTACTTTTTTAAAACGTGGAATGTTCCCATTGAATGAGATCAGTGGATGTTTCAAGATGAGGTTTAAAAGTTTATGTTCAATTCAACCATCATTAGAATTACTTTTGGTATCCCAGAATGTTACACAGTTTGAATAAAACAAGTGAACATTAAAAAAAAAGAAGAAGAAGAAGAAATGACTTTGTCATACCAGTCTGGGCAAGAGTCTGACCTTCCCACACTCCCAGTGTAGGTCCCTGGGGGCACCTCTGTGGGTTACATGGGTGCAACTGGTCAACAGGCCACTGCCAGGCCAGGGAATCACCCCCGTGGAAAGAAGCCTCGTGGAGTCTGAGACCCCCTCCCTCACAGTCCCAGCGAGTGTAGTCCCTCCTTTCTCCTCTCAGCCCTGGCTGGACCCTTAGCACACGCACTTCTCACACTGGCAGTTGAGTAGCAGTGTGTGGCTCTCCCCATGCGGAGTGGACCCCGCCTGGAGCCCAGGGCCTTCTTCCTTTTGCCTTTCCCCTGCACCTGGCACCACCGCGCCTGGGGATCATCAGAGCTGATGGCATGCCTGTGGCATGGCTGTCCACTGACGGCACAGAACACCAGCTGCAGGCACTGCCTCTGAGGGCCCCATACAGCAGATATGGTGCTCGATGGGGGACAGGGGAGGATTGAGGTGCCTTTGGGCCAAGGGCAGATGATTGAGAAAGGTGACAGAGAGGGGACGCCATTCTGTGGAGGCTGGAGAGGCAGGTCAGAGGCCAGCAGAGCCCCAGGCAAGGACTGCCATGCAGAGTCCAGCTGCGCCTGGGCTGGGAGTTCAGGTGGCTGGAATGAGGTCTCGGGTTTCAGCCCTGCTCAGCTCCTTAGCTTTTGACGGCAACTGCTTCCTTCAAGACAGGGCCGTCACCACCGCCCCATTAGCGCAGGAAATATTTGCCCGACAGCGTCACTCTCCAGGAGAAGGACAACTGACGCTCCACGCCCCGTGAGTTCCAGGACTCTTTTATCCCAGATGATGGACTCCTTAATCCCTCCTCCCTCCCGGTCAGCTCAAGGAGCTGCAAACCTTCCAACACTCAGCGTCCCTTTTAAGTTTAGAAATTGACCTAACAACAATGTCCTTGCAGGTGGCCCAGGGCACAACGCTGGTCTATCTGCCTGTTGACGTTGAGAGGAGATGACTTGGTTTGGTTATCTGTTGCATGATCAATAACAGAATGATTACAACAGCTAGCATGGTGCTAAACGTCTTACAAATAAGTGAGCCTCGGGACAACCCTTTGAGGGGCCACGTCAGCATCCCCATTTTCAGATGAACAAACTGAGGTTTGCAGGTGCTGAGAAACTTCCAAAGCCACCCAACTGGGAAGTGGTGAGACCAGGATTGGAACCCAGGACTTCAAAGAACACCCATGATGCTCATAGTCCGTTTCTGCCATAGAGGGCACTGCAAAGAGTTCATAGGATAATGGAGTTAATATATAAGTCTAGGGGGTGGGCAGTTAGCAGTTAAAGCACCAGCGGGGATGCCCACATTCCATGTTTCAGTGCCGGGGATAGGTACCAGGTCCACTCCAGACTCCAGCTTCCTGCTAATGCAGACCCTGGGGAACAGCCACAATGATGGCTCAAGGGCTGGCTCCTCCCACCCGTGTGGGAGACCCGGAGTGGGTTCTGGACTCAGCGTTGGCCTGGCCTACACCTGGCTGTTACAGGCATTTGGTAAGCAAACCAGTGGGTAGGAATCCTGTGTGTGTGTGTGTGTGTGTGTGTGTGTGTCTCAAAAAAGCAGATAATAGATGATAGATATGAGTACAAGAAATTTTGAAATCCATGCTTAGTTTTTTCATAACATGCATTTTCCATGAACTTATTGAAGAACCCCTCATACCACTGTGATATTTCACTTGCTACATGCTGGAAACACAGGTATGCTTAATCCTTATCTCTTAAGATTTCAATCTAGGGGCCGGCGCCATGGTTCACTTGGTTAATTCTCCGCCTGCGGTGCTGGCATCCCATGTGGGCACTGGGTTCTAGTCCCGGTTGCTCCTCTTCCAGTCCAGCTCTCTGCTGTGGCCCAGGAGTACAGTGGAGGATGGCCCAGGTGCTTGGGCCCCTGTACCCGCATGGGAGACCAGGAGGAAGCACCCAGCTCCTGGCTTCGGACCAGCGTAGCGCCGGCCGTGGTGGTCATTTGGGGGGTGAACCAACAGAAGGAAGACCTTTCTCTCTGTCTCTCTCTCGCTCGCTGTCTGTAACTCTACCTGTCAAATAAAAAAAAAGAAAAAAGATTTCAATCTCGCAAGGGAAGTAAATATTAACATATTTTAATTGCATATTACAGTGTGATATTCATAATAATAAAAATGCATAAAAATGGATCACAGGATGATGATTAATTCTGTTAATAAGGGGAGAAGAGGGACTAGGGAAGATTTCCCAGAGGAATACTCGAAAAATGAAACTTTATGGTTCACTGTCTTGTCTATTCTGAGTGTGTGATCGTCAGCCATCGCCCATCCACACCAGCGTCTACTGGATGAGTCATCCATCATCTGGCAAGACTCAGGCCCAGAGCACCCTTCTCTGAGCGAGTGCTTTAATATTTCTCACCCAGCACAAGCACCTGACGAATGAACATCTTAAAGAACGCTGGAGCCGGCGCCGCAGCTCACTAGGCTAATCCTCCGCCTTGCGGCGCCGGCACACCGGGTTCTAGTCCCGGTCAGGGCGCCGGATTCTGTCCCGGTTGCCCCTCTTCCAGGCCAGCTCTCTGCTGTGGCCAGGGAGTGCAGTGGAGAATGGCCCAAGTGCTTGGGCCCTGCACCCCATGGGAGACCAGGATAAGTACCTGGCTCCTGCCATCGGATCAGCGCGGTGCGCCGGCCGCAGCGCGCCGGCCGCGGCGGCCATTGGAGGGTGAACCAATGGCAAAGGAAGACCTTTCTCTCTGTCTCTCTCTCTCTCACTATCCACTCTGCCTAAAAAAAAAAAAAAAAAAAAAAAAAAAACCACGCTGGAGCACCCCTGTCACTGAGGGTGCCGAGGTCAGCGTTGGCAGAGCACACCCAACAGCCCTGAACATCCGCTCTCACCGGTAGCACCATCCAGGCTCTTCGCTCATGCATCACTTGCCCTAAGTCCATGAATCAAAAGGAATTTATGTCCAGATGCCACGAAGTTTTGTGTGCTGTGCTGCTGCCGACATCAGAGACAGATTCTGGCCTTCAGCGGATGGGCATTTTGAGCAGTGGACACATTTGGATAAGAATAAAGGCAAATTTAATTAACTGATTATATTCTTTCTTCCTCATGGATATCCTGAATGCAACAGATTCATGAAAAATGTAATATACTTTCCTGCCACTGCTGAGTGTGTCTCTTGCTTCTCACTAGTTTCTAATTTGTGGTTGTGGAGGCACTCAAAAATTAATGCAGCATTCCCAACAGTTGCGCGTGATGGCAAGGGGATATTTCTGCAACACTGCACAATGGTGTCCGGTGCAGTGGGTGGGGTGCTGCTTGGGGTGCCCACATCCCGTGTTGGAGTGTCTGGGTCTAAGTACTGGCTTCCCTTCAGATGGGCGCTCTGGAGGTAGCGGTAATGGCTCAAGTAGTGAGGTCCCTGACACCCGGGGGAAGACCTGGATGCAGTTCCAGGCTCCTGGCTTTGATCTGGCCCAGCCCTGGCTGTTGTGGGCATTTGGTGAGTGAATGAGAGGACTGAAGATTTGCCTGTCTGTCTGTCTCTCTTTCTCTCTCTGCCTTTCAAGTAAATGAACAAAAGTAAATAAACCCTTTTAAAAAGTTATAACATTGTAATTTGTACATTTGCCTTTCTGTCCATAACATACAGGAAGCATGATACTAATTCTTTACTTTGGCCACAGACAGACCTTGAGGGCTAGAATTGTAAAAATATTTTTCAAGACTTAATTATACTCTCAAGAGGTTCAAAAACAATTTGTGTCTGAGTAATACTGATTTTTAAGGTAGATGTGAATTTATTATACTGTATATTTTGTCTTTTAATTTCAGTAGATTGTTTTGCATATTCTGTCACGTAATATATTGTCACAAGGAAACACCAGAGGATGCAATGAACTGAATGTTTGCATCCTGCCGCAAGTCTTAGATTTCAGTTCTGCTCCTAAATGACGATGTGTGGAGGTCAGGCCCTGGGGAGGTAACTGGGTCATGAAGGTGGAGCCCTCACCACCGAGAGCAATACCTTTACGAGTAGAGTCCAGACAGCCAGCACAGGACACAATCAGAAGCCAGCAGTCTGCAGCCCAGGAGAGGGCCCTGTCCAGAACCCGACCATGTTGGCACCCTGGGCTCAAACTGCCAGGCTCCAGAACCTCGAGAAGTAAAGTCCTGTTGTTTACAAAGTACTCGGGAGTCTATAGCACTTTGTTGTAGCAGGCCAAGGTGACAAGGATGGATGGGTTTGCTCCCCACCCCCATACTCATTTATCTCCCTCAGGCCCCTGGCTGGCCAGGTGTGGAGCCTCATCCTAGAACCTGGCTCAGCAAGAAGCCTACAGAAGTGTCCCGAGCTGGGGGGGAGGGGAGGCTCGGTTGTAAGCTGCTGCAGTGTGGACTGCTCAGCTCCTCATTCTGCCTTGATCCGTCTCCTTGTACCTAACGACTCACTTGGCTTCCTGAGCTGCCTTGACTGATGGCTTCAGTCACTGTCCTCTTGAGCCAGGTCATGATCTCAGTCCAGGCTTCCTCCCCACCACGTGTCCCTTGAAATGTGTTGACCTGACATGGTTCAGTTAACCAGCGTACACACTGACTTTAAACATTGTGCATTGGGGCTGGCGCTGTGGCATAGCGGGTTAAGCTGCTGCCAGTAACACAGGCATCCCATGTGGGTGCCAGTTCGTGTCCCGGCTGCACTACTTCCAATCCAGCCTGGGAAAGGAGTTGGAGATGGCCCAGGTGTTTGAGCCCCTGCCACCCACGTGGGAGACCTGAAGGAAGCTCTTGGCTCCTAGCTTCGGCCTGGCTCCGCTCTGACAGTTTTGGCCATCTGGGGAGTGAACCGGAGGATTGAAGATTCTCTCTCTCTCTCTCTCTGTGTGTGTGTGTGTGTGTGTGTGCACGTGTGTGTCTTTCTCTGTCAGTCTTTCTCTGTAACTCTGGCTTTCAAATACGTAAATAAATCTTTAAAAATAAGTAAATAAGTAAACATCATGCATCTTTTTTTGTCTTTTTGACAGGCAGAGTTAGACAGAGAGAGAGAGACAGAGAGAAAGGTCTTCCTTCCGTTGGTTCACCCCCCAAATGGCTGCTACAGCCGGTGTGCTGCGCTGATCCAAAGCCAGGAGCCAGGTGCTTCCTCCTGGTCTCCCATGCGGGTGCAGGGCCCAAGCACTTGGGCCATCCTCCATTGCCTTCCTGGGCCACAGAAGAGAGCTGGACTGGAAGAGGAGCAACGGGGACAGAACCGGCGCCCCAACCGGCACTAAAACCCGGAGTGCAGGCGCTGCAGGTGGAGGATTAGCCTGGTGAGCCTCGGTGAGGACCAACATCATGCCTCTTTTCCCTTCCCTGTAAAAAGACAAAGAGAATGGCCTTCACCACCCATTTCATGTAAATTGTTGTGTAGGCTGCCTGGAACCTAGCTTCACCTGCACCCTCCAGGAAATCTGTATAGATCATTGCATCCAGAACAGAAAGCACTCGGTTCTTTTTACAACTGAGGGAAGTGAGGCCCAGGGGCCAGGGGGAGGAAATGACTTGGACACAATCACTCAGCCAGAGAACTGAGACCAGACTCCATCTCCAGGCTTCCAGCCCAGCGCCTGCTTGATGCTGGCAGTGCGAAGGAAAAGCAAGCAGGTTGATCCCAGCAAGGCACTCTCCAGCGTTGAGTTGCAGGGCTTCTGCCACCCCGCGCGCCTGCATGCCTTTCTGGAGACTAAACATTTTCACAGTTCCTTTAGCCCCGGGGCTATTTTCCTGTTGGAAAAATGGGAAAATTCCCCATGCAGATGGTAAGAAAAATAACTTCAGCTGGACTAATCCAGAGACAAAGGTTCTTCTGAAACTGAAGAAGGGTAGAGGAGTTGAGAGAAGCAAATGTTTGCTTTAAGTAAACACATAGTGTTTCCTCTGGGTTTCTTTTCGTTTCTTCGTGCCTTAGAATGCCTAACTGGCTTCGCAGAGGGAGGCAGGGTCACATGGGTTCAGGAGAACCTGGGTGGTCATGAGCCTGCCAGAGAAGCCCCAACCCTCTGGGTCCCTTGGCCAAGGCTGTTAGGAGCCGCACCCCACAGGCCCTGGGCTGAAAGGGAGATGAATCTTCTGGTGGAAGCCTCCGCCCACCCAAAGGAGCCCCCTCCCCAAAGATGAAGTCATAAACTACTCAAGACCCTATCAGCTACTGATCTTCAAAATACACTTCTTCACTTTAACAAGTTACTGCCTTGGGCACTGACATTTCTTCTGTTACAGTTTGTTTCCTGATACTGAAATAATTTCTGTTGATTTCACCAATTTCATGATTTATTAAGTTTTATATAAATTTTCTCTTTGTTCTTTAGCTAAAGAAAAATCCAAGTTAGTATAAATATTTAAAATACTCCATCTGGGGCAGGCTGTGTTGCAGCAGTTAAGACGCCGCGTGGGATACCCACATCCCGTGTTAGAGCGCCAAGTTCAGGTCCTGGTTCTACTCCTGATTCCAGCTTCCTGTGGACATGCACTCCGGGAAGCAGCAGAAATGGCCCGAGTTGTTGGGTTCCTGCCAACCATGTGGGAGACCTAAACTGAATTCCAGGAGCCTAGTTTTCGCTTGGCCCAGCCCTAGCTATTGCAGGCATTTGGGTACTGAACCAACAGATAGGAGAACTCTCTCTCTTCTCTCTTACTCTCACTCCCACTCTCATTCTCATTCTCCTTGTCTTTAAAATAAATTTAAAAGTTAAAGGAATTAAACATCAAGTTACCATCTTTTAGAACTTGTTTCAATTTGATTTTTTTAACTTTTTAAAAAAGATTTATTTATTTATTTATTTGAAAGGCAGAGTGATAGAGGGAGAGAGAGAGAGAGGAGAGAGAAAGATCTTCCATCTGCTGTTTCACTCTGGAAATGGTCCTAATAGAGCTGCGTCAGGCCAAAACCAGGAGCCTGGAACTCCATGAAGGTCTCCCCTTTGGGTGACAGGGGCCCAAGCACTTGGACCATCTTCCGCTGCTTTCCCAGGTGCATTAGCAGGGAGCTGGATCAGAAGCAGAGCAGCCAGGACCTGATCCAGCACCTGACATGGGATGTTGGCGTTACAAGCAGCAGCCTAACCACTGCACCACAGCACCAGCCCCATTTCAATTTCCTGAATGAAGTCACGCATAGATGGCTTTTATTCGGCAAAACAATTAGGAATTACCTTGCAAGGGCCCATCCAAGAGGGGAGCCTTGGGACTTTAGTGTCGTTGGCTTCACAGGAAATCCTCCCTATAAATCACACAAGGGGATTGGCCCAGCTTTCTAAGGCCCATTTCACCTGTGTTTCGAGATGCCCACTTCAGGGCCAAGGAGCATGGACAGAGCTCGGCGACATGGGCACACCACATGACAGTGTGACTCAGAAGAGCCCGAAGCTTCAAACTGGACCAGGGACCCCAGCCAGGACCATAATGAGCTACAACTAGAGGTTGTGAGGTCCATGCAAAGGTGGTTGCTCCACAAATATATCCATACCTACCATCCACCAGCATAACCCGGGACAGAAGCCACCTGCAGAGCAGTGGTGCTGGGGCCATGGCCCTCAAGCACCCACACAGCCACCCCACCTGGGTTCTGCCACCCTCAGGCGTGAAATTCTCCCATCCTCTGCCCTGCCCAAAGCCTCAAGCCCCAAGTCTTTGATGCCTCCCCCTCCAGGACAGCCAGAAATGGCCTTCCTCCTAGCTGTGCCTGCACCTTCTGAAAAGCCCCACATGCATTTCTCCTTCCTGGGCTCTCACACCTGCTCATCAGCAGCTCCTCCCAGCATCCCCCAGGACAGGATATGTAGAACTCAAAACCAGAGAGGCTGGGATGCTCCATCCTCCTGGCCGAATGCAAAGGGAATTTGCGGTCTGCTGTTTCCCTGATGAGCCACTGCAACAGCAGTAAAGGCAGCACTCTCTGTTTTCAGCAACACAGTCCCTTAGATTACCGCTGTGTAAACAAAGTTCGTGTTCTCAATTCCAAAATAACCTGCTTTGGGCCCACAGTGGAATATTTGGGTTCAAGTCCTGGCTCTGGCTGCTGACTCCAACTTTCAGCTAATGCAGACCCTACTAGGCGATGGTGATGGTTCAAATAGTTGACTCCCTGCTACCCACATGGGTGACCTGGATTGAGTTCCCCACTACCAGCTCAACCAGGCCCAACCCCAGCCACTGGAGGCATTTGGGAGTGACCCAGTAGATGGGAGTGCTCCCCCCACCAATCCTCTCTCCCTCCTCTGACCTCTGAAGTAAATAATATTAAGAAAAATCTACTCTTCAGAGCAGAAGGTCTGCTAGAATATAACTCTAGTGGCCATGACTCATGTAGGCTGGGACGTGAAGGGATTAGCACAGGTGTGTGCGCCAAGTGTCAAAGGAGTGTGTGAGGGCTGGTGCTGTGGTGCAGCAGGTTAAAGCCCTGGCCTGAAGTGCTGGCATCCCATATGGGCACCAGTTCTAGTCCCTGCTGCTCCTCTTCCAATCCAGCTCTCTGCTGTGGCCTGGGAAAGCAGTGGAGGATGGCCCAAGTATTTGGGCCCTTGCACCCGTGTGGGAGACCTGGAAGAAGCTCCTGGCTCCTGGCTTTGGATCAGCGCAGCTCCGGCTATTGTGGCCATCTGGGGAGTAAACCAGCGGATGGAAGACCTCTCTCTCTGTCTCTACCTCTCTCTTGTAACTCTGTTTTTCAAATAAATTAAAAAAAAAAAAAAAAAAGGAGTGTGTGAAACCCACCTCAGTTCTGCAGCTCACTGTTGTCTGGCTCAGTATGACTTCTGGAACTAAGATAAGGTGCCAAAAAGCCACACCCACAGACTGACTGGGGCCCTGGGCAAATTGAAGCAATGTGTTGCGTGTTTGCTCAGCACTGCCAAAGACACGGAGAAATAGATGCCACAGCCTGGCCTCCTAAAGATTTTCCTGGTCTGCTTGGGAAGATTTGCACCCATGAGAAAGTTCACAATGAATAATAATGTAACAATAGAAGTCATGTCTCAGGACAGAGCAGCTCACCTGCTTGGATCCATGTAGCCATCTGGCAGGCTTCCTGTTCTGACCTCTCTTGTAGATGAAGAAAGGAGGCTTACAGAAGAACTGGCGGCCCCTTATAATCTTTATCTCTGCAGACAGGAAGCTAACCTGAGCCATAGGGGGCTGTGCCCAGCGGATACTCCCGGCTGCCTTGCTCCCTTCCCCCCTCACTCTGCAAACTTCACTACACCCGCCCCCACCTACCTTAGTGCAGCATCTGACTCTGCAATGCAATTTGCGAGTTTTATTGTACCTTCTTTTAGAATGTTTCGGAGCTGCCAAGTGCTTGTAAATAAGGTGGTGCACCACCACGTATCTCCACTCCACCCCCAGCCACATCCACCCAGTGAAGCTGCAGGAACGGATAAGGGAATTCTTCTCTCTCTCTCTCTCTTTTTTTTTTTAAGATTTTTTTGTTTATTTGAAAGGCAGAATTAGAGAGAGAGAGATTGTCCATATTCTGGTTCACTCCCCCAAATGACCATAACAGCCAGGGCTGGACCAGGCCAAAGCCAGGAGCCAGGAGCTTCATCTGGGTCTCCCACATGGGTGCAGGGGCCCAAGCACTTGGTCATCTTCTGCTGCTTTGCTGGGCACACTAGCAGGGAGCTGGATCAGAAGCAGAGCAATTGAGATGGGAACTGGTACCACAATGCAGGATTATTCTGTGGTCAGACCTCCTCCACCTGCAGGTTATGCACCCCTCATCCCATCTGCTCCAACCAGTTGAGGAGACAACCACCAAAGCCTGTGTGAGAGGCACATCAGCCTCATCCCCCACTGTGCCCATCCATCTCCTCAGTACATGAAGTGTCTTCCTGATTTCCCGGACATACACCCCAACCAGGCTTTGGGTCATGGCCATTCTTCCTCCTGGGATGCACTTCTCTCAAATTATGCTTGTCCGGTTACTGCCAGACTACAAAAACTAGGTCTCAGTAGCTCTTTTTCCTCCTCCAAGCCTTTCCCAATTCTGTCCATATATACAAGATCTCATCTGTTTTCTGAAACACTGGTGTTAGACCCTCGGAGTGAGGATGCTAACATGTCGAGAGGCACACCCCAAAGACTCAGAGTCCAGACCAGCTGATGCAAAAGCAAGAGGATTTATTCAGCGTCTGCGCAGACGGGCCTCCTGAACTCGGGAGTCCAGAGAGCGCCCCCAGCACAAAGCCACACGGTTTATATACCCGCAGTGACCAATCAAAAGCACTATAGTGTCCATGCACACAGCAGTCCAATCCGTGAGCTGATCATGTGAAAGGCATGCGTCTTCTGTCCAATCAGCTACGGGATCACATGGGAGGCATGCACCTCATCGCCATTTCGTTGTTTACTTCTTTAGTAGTTCCTTTCCCTGCCAGCGCTATCTTGTTCACCCTGAGGGGGACGACGTCTCGCTCCCTTTGTTCCCCTGGTGGGAGAGCGGGGTCCCACTTCCCACACCGTTATTTGAGTATTAGGAGGCATACAAACTGGGTTAGGTCTTAGCACAGCCAGGCACAAGTGTCGCAGCTAGCTAAGCATAGGGTCCCTTATTTTTATAGCTGCACCTAATTTTAGCTTTGGGGGAAAAAGTTTAGGGCTGTAATTTTTAAACTTTAATTTTATTTGGGGCAAAGGTAACTTCTTGTTTTTAATGGTATTGGCTTAGGTCACTCCATCTTGGTTTGATTTTTAAGGTTCTTCAACTGGAATTTTTAAATTTATTTAAAGATTTATTATATTTTATTTGAAAGAGTTACACACACATACGCGCGCACACACACACACACACACACACACAATCTGCCATCCACTGGTTCACTCCCCAAATGGGTGCAACAGCTGGGGCCAGGCCAAAGCTGGGAGCCTGGAACCAAAAGCTTCTTCCTGGTCTCTCATGTGGGTGCAAGAGCCCAGGAACTTGGACTATCTTCCATTGCTTTCCCAAGCACATTAGCAGGAAGCTGGATTGGAAGAAGAGCTGCTAGGACTTGAACTGGCACCCATGTGGGACGCAGGCATAGCAGGCGGCAGCTTTTACCTGCTTCACCACAACACTGTCGAATTTCATCTGACTAATCTGCTGGTGTTCATCACTGTGTCTTACTACAGTCATTTGCAGGTGTGCCTTAGAGGTTGGGGTCAGAGGCTGAGTCTGTTGTCCAACCTCTGGCACCTAGGACCCATGCAACATTGGGAAACTGAGCCACAGGAAATTCACCTACAGAGTAGAGTTTCATAGAATGAAATATGATAATGAAGAAAGTGCCCTATCACTGATATTGGGCTTTACTTGTGTACACTTCTCTCTGCCTCAGTGTATACTTCCATAAAAATGGGAGTAGTGTACTGTGTCCCTCTTGGAGATGCAGTGAGGGTTAGATGTAAAGCAGATTTTACACAGTGCCCTGCGTCTGTCTCTGGCCCCACTCCCGTCATAGGCAGAGCTTGGGCTGTAGATCCAATCTGAGATTCTATAGTCTGAGCACGATGTGGTTCAGGAATCAGGACACTGTTGCAAACATTCCTCTGTAGGGGTGACTTTTGCAACGTGGGCAGGAATTCCAACATTCTGCAACAGTCGTCATCATCATAAACAGGTGGTGGTCCCTGCAGCCAGGAAATTGGTTTTCAGGGGCCAAATCTGTGCTGTGAGAGAACAGAGCATGTGTGTCTACAAAACTCCAGCTGATCCCAGAGCCAGATGAAAGAGCCGCCTTTCCGAGTGGCCAGCCACCACATGGGAGCCTGAAATACCCCATGAAGGCATTCGGGGGAGACCAGACCAGGTCCTGCACAAGCCACGCCATCCCATTGCTGTAGCCCAATGCTGGTGCAGCTGGTGACAGTAACTCAGTTGAGCTATTGGGTCAAGGATCTGTAACTGAGAAGAGAAGGACATTATAGACCAGAAAAGATAGAAGGGACCAGTTGTGACCAACGGCCTTGCTGCAGACCTCGGAGCCATACCCCTGTTTCTCTAAAAACACTGAACTTCTTCCTCTCATTGCTTTAATTCATTAATAAAGAGCTTTTCACATGGGTGCTGCTGAATTAAAGTTCATTCATGCTTGAATCAATCATCTAAAATAGCAAAGAAGCCACGACAGTGTAGATGTCGGGGGAGAACAAATCACCACTGAGCTGTTCGACATGAGGGGCCAGATTCACAGGAAGTTGAAAAACAGGAGAAAACTAAACAGGACTTTGCTGGAGACAGTACATGACAAGAGGCACAAGGGGCTTCTGGAATGTTCTGGTTCCCAATCTTGGTGCTGGTTGCAAGAGTCTGTTGAGTCTGTGAAAACTCGGTGAGTGTATGTGTGTGACATATGCACATCTCTGGATGTATGATATATGTCACATTAAGCTTAAAAGTAGAACAAACAGGAATCAAGTCTTTTTTTTTAAAAAAAAAAAAGATCATTTATTTATTTTTTGACAGGCAGGGTGGACAGTGAGAGAGAGAGAGACAGAGAGAAAGGTCTTCCTTTTCCATTGGTTCACCCTCCAATGGCTGCTGCAGCTGGCGCACAGCACTGATCCGATGGCAGGAGCCAGGTGCTTCTCCTGGTCTCCCTTGGGGTGCAGGGCACAAGCACTTGGGCCATCCTCCACTGCACTCCCGGGCCACAGCAGAGAGCTGGCCTGGAAGAGGAGCAACCGGGACAGAATCCAGCGCCCTGACCAGGACTAGAACCTGCTGTGCCGGCGCCGCAGGCGGAGGATTAGCCTATTGAGCCATGGCACTGGCCAAAAATTTATTTATTTATTTGAAAGAGTTACACAGAGAAAGGAGTGGCAGAGAGAGAGAGAGAGAGAGAGAGAGGTCTTCCATCCGATGGTTCACTCCCCAGTTGGCCGCAACGGCCAGAGCTGCGCCTCTCCGAAGCCAGGAGCTAGGAGCTTCTTCCGGGTCTCCCACGTGGGTGCAGGGGCCCAAGGACTTGGGCCATCCTCTACTGCTTTCCCAGGCCATAGCAGAGAGCTGTATCAGAAATGGAGCAGCCAGGTCTTGAACTGGCTCCCACGCGGGATGCCGGCGCTTCAGGCCAGGGCATTAACCCATTGCGCTACAGCGCCGGCCCCAGGAATCAAGTCTTGACTGACACTGAAAGCCCCCCTAAAAAAGTCCTGGAAGGAAGTACAAGGTTCTGCCTCTCTTTATTTCCATACAAATTATGGCTGGTCTAAATAAATAACCAGAGGGCTCTGGAAGAAAATAGGAACCAGGAAGAGAGCAGGTGGTCTTCAGAAGAATTTTGGAGTAGAGAAGCACCCATTGCCGTAAAGACGACCCCAAATGGTGTGATACCATAATGTGTTTGGGTAAACGTTTTGTGCATAGACTCCCAACCACATATACGTCTGTGTAGACGCACACACATGCCTTTGGATAAATTCATAATAATTAAGAAGCTGCTATTTATTGTAGCTTTCTCCATGGCGGGCACTGTGGTTTACATTCATGAAATGGCTCAGCTGTGATACCAGGCTGATGAAGGGGATACCAGCATTTCCCTATTTTTCAGATGCGGAAACTGAGCTCAGAGAGGGTTGGAGACTTAGCTAATGTCACCCAGCTAATAGACTCAAAATCGGATTGATCTACTTCCAAGGCCTGTGCTTTGAAAAAGAAAACTCAACTCCTCCAGAAGATAGCGGCACAGAGGTTCAGGCCCTTGACTTTTCTGTGACAAATATAAGATAGGGATGGGTTTTATAAGACAGCAGGTTTAGCTGATGTTTGTGACACCCACATTCCATAGCACAGTGTCTCGGATCAAGTCCCACTTCTGCTTCTGGTCCAGCTTCCTGCCAATGTGTACCCTGGATGTCAACAGATGATGGCCCAAGCATTTGAGGTTCCTACCACCCATATGGGAGACCCAGATGGAGTTGCTGCCTCCTGGGTTTGGACTGGTCCAGCTCTGGTTGTTACAGGAATTTGGGGAGTGAACCAGTAGGTGGAGAATAACTCTCTCTCTCTCTCAAATAAATAAGAAATACACTTTAAAAAAAAATAAACATAAGGGGCTAGCATTGTGGCACAGCTGGTTAAGCTGCCACCTGCAACAGCAGCATCCCATATGGGCACCAGTTCGTGTCCCAGCTGTTCCACATCTGATCCAGTTTCCTGCCAATGGCCTGGGAAAAGCAGCAGAAGATGATCCAAATGTTTGGGCCCCTGCCACCCACAAGAAGCTCCTGGCTCCTGGCTTGTACCTGGCTCAACCCTGGTCATTGCAGCCTTCTAGGGAGTGAACCAGTGGATGGAAAATCTCTTTCTTTCTCTCTCACTCACTGTAACTCTGGCTT